TATAGTAAAAGTATTCCTTGGGGAAACTATATCTCAATCAAATCAGAAAAAAAAGAGACCTTCCAAATTATAAATTAAACCAGGAAGATAAGATTGTAATGGTACTTCTAGTACATTGCATCTGCTTGTACCAGAAAGCTTTTACTATCTAAGAGTAATAAGGATTAGAGTAAAAGAAAGAGGGTTCTATCCATATGTGAAATGTTTTCAGAACTATAAACTGCTCGGGGAAGTTTCCATTATTCTCATTAATTCTGGCAAACCTTTTACAATGTGTTGCATGGGTGATAATACAAGTCAAAAGAACTAAAGGATGAAGTCAGTCAGTGAAGTTCCTTTTGACTGTGCTTATTGCATACCTCTTTGGCCTGATCAAATATCTTACATACATCTTGTGGGTTGGATGCAGGGACTTTTCTCCTTTCCCTTCTTGGCATCTTTCTCAGGCCTTTTGTGTGTGTGTGGGGGGGGGGTCTGCCCATAAAACCCCATTGCTATTTGGTGATTGTTTTTCCTGGCTAGCTTATGGAGATAAGAATGAATAACAGCAGAGAAAGTATTATTATTTCCATTCTGTACTGATAGCTGATAGTTTTTTCCCCCCAAATGTAAGATAGGATTTTGTTTAAGGCCAATATTTAAAGTTCAGGAAGCATTTTATAAAAAAGCAAAATGAAATGCTGTGTACTTAGATTTGGACAAAAACAGCAAAAAGGAAGATATGTGAATATTTCATATTTCATTACCCTCAAGGTAACATCTTCAATGCTACGGTGTTTCCCTGAAAGTAAGACTGGGTCTTATTTTCTTTTGACCCCTGAAATATGGCCTTGGTCTTATTATTGGGGGGGAGCTAATAGTTTTCTGGCAGGTGGCAGGTGGGGCGGTGAGAAGCAAGACACACGTTTTACCTTTCCAGCTCCAATGGCCAGAGGAGGAGACACACTCCGTTGTTGTAAAAAAACCCTTCTTGAGAGTTCAAACTTCTTGAACTTGTGAGAAGGTTTTTTTACAGTGTTTCCCTGGACACAATGGCGAGAAATGCGACGGAGCTCGAAAGGTAAGATGCGCTGGGGGTTGGAAGGTGGGGCAGGGGATGGGGCGGGGCAGAGGCTCCTGCAGCCCTCCTATTCCTGGACAGAACAGCAAATCTATGCTATCTGCCAGAGGATGAGGCAGCAGGAACCAAGCACCTTCCTGTGCCTC